TTTCAGCCTTCTTGTTTAACAAAAAATAAATGAAAGAATTCCTGGTACCGGGGTTTTCAACGCCGCGGCAGCATCTCCCTCGTTGGACGGTTAAAAACGAAACGACAAAGAGAGAAAAAAAAACGAATCACTTTTCAAACGGAAATGCCATGTTTATTTTATGGATGCCTGAAAGTACGAATAATCGTAAACGAATATTCATCATAGTGACCACAGACTCACCACAATTATGCTAACACGTGTAGATCTCATATATATATATATATATATATATATATATATATATATATATATATATATATATATATATGTGTGTGTGTGTGTGTGTGTGTGTGTTGTGTATATTTAGCAGCAATTTTTCATTAATGCATGTTTCATTAAATAATATAGACAAGTTTTTGTCTATTTATTTTAAGTAAGTTCCTTTCATATTGTCTGATAAGCTTAATCACATTTTCATTGAAAGACAAAAAGAAATCACCATATTGATACATATTTAAATCCAATCTAAGCTTTCGGCTTACATAAGCCATTATCAAAGACAATTTCAATACATCAAACAGCACACGGACGAAACAACAATGATAGTCCGCCCTTGCTGCATGAAAAATTTCAAAGAAATATATATATATATCTATATATATATATATATATACATATATAAAATTGTCGTTGGCGGAACTTGCTCACGAATATTGTGGTGGGCATAGAAGTTTCCTTTTGTGTGAAAGATCAACGGAAGCATAAAAATGGGACTATAAGCATTTTCCCCATTTAATGAAAATATAGAGTTACTTATCAAGATTACAGTTACGCTATAGGACAATTCCACAATCCAACAGACTACAAAGTCCCTCCGCATTACTTGTTAGACAAATTAGAGCTTCCATAACATTGTCAAGTGAAAGTGTATGGTATAAAAAGAGAAAGGATCCAATTCAAAGGCGGCGAACTTAGTCGTACAAAAAGAACACAGCACAGGAATTTCTATCTATAAAAGCAGGAAGTGTCTGTGTGTGTGAGTGTGTGTAATGAATGCACGGCCGCAATTTTCGACGGATCTGCACCAAAATTTACATGTACATGCTCCAAGTTAGCGGAAAGGCCAAGACCGACTTTGCATTTCCCAACTTCCATCGATAGTGAAAATAATCAATTTTTTATGCTTCTACGGCAGTTTTCATGTAGTTTGCGGCCATTTTCTACTGGCCAGAGTGAGAGCCTATAGCTGGCTGCCATGAATAGGCAGGAAGATTCTATTGGCCAGCGTGAGAGCCAACAGCTGACTGACACGAATGTTAACTAGCATGCAAAAAAAATCGATAACTGCATTCGTCACAAAGTGGGAAAATTTAAATCTGCATGGCACTTTTACTCCAATTGGCTCATTCGCTTGCTTAACCTCAACGTTGATTCTGATTCCGCAGAACTGGGTTGCATGTGAAAAAAGTATTTGTGTTAACATTCTTTTTTTTCATCTGGGTTTTTCCAGTTACGAGTCCTTTTTAAAGCTGATCATTTTCTTTAGTTTTTTTTTTCGTAACAGATTTAATGTTTAGTATAGAGCTTAGAAAAAATTCGCAGTGTGAGATAGGCAAGAAGTAAGGCATGTAGCAACATCAGCACAGCAAAGGCACTCCTTTAAAGGCAAGGAAGGGCAAAAATATTTTAAGTCAAGTGATAGCGATTGCTGTATGAGTCGTACGATTTTTGAATCAAGCACGGGCAACGCCGGGCCATGCTGCTAGTACTAACTAAAAACAGACAAAGATTTCCTGGCCCATGCGGATCAATTCAGGAACAGAATGGAACCCGAGGACATAGAAATGGACGAAGAATCTGCTGAAGAACATGAAGGGGATGAAGGGACTAATAAATCCAGGATTGAAACTGAATAATCTATGGATGATAGTGACCAGAAATTTGACGTAGAATCGGAAGAGGAAAATAAACTCCGACTTAGGTCCCTTATAAGAAGAAATCAAGATACATATCTGTTATTCATAATGACGGTCGTCTTCGAGTATAGAATCCAGAGGTTAGCAGTGAATATTTCGAAGACAGTAGGAAAGCGTTGTTCAGGTTAGCAGTGGATATTTTGGTAAAAGTAGCAGAGCATAGTTCGTCCTTCTGGTTCTCTTCGCCTGACAAGCTGGAACTGGACATTCGGGTAGAGTGAACAAAAATGGCCGCCTTTATACACGACGGATTGAATGTTCTACGTCTTCTGATTGGTTAACCTTCTATTGGTGAACTATAAAGTGAGTTAAGTCATTTGAGCCAACTCACTAGTTACATTATATATACACAAAAAACTGTAACAATACCAAGAAAGAAAGTCCAGATACCCAAGAATAATTAAAATAAGTCAAAGAAGGGCATAAGATCATTTTGCTTCAAGAAGGTGCTGTATTGTATGTAAATAACTCGACTGGCATTCTCTGTAATGTTTTGCTATAAAAGCAGAACATTATAGTAAATGCCAGTCGAGCCACTTACCTGAGCAGCTTTTGTGAATTGATGGGGGAATGGGGAACAGGGGCCTTAGCATTAGTTTTTGATCCAGCAGCGTCTATTCCAGAGATTACGCTATTCATAACATGGACACACTACAGAATTTTTCCCCACGTATTTAGAAAGTGCAAAGTTAAACTCTGAATGCCATTTGTCTAGTAATTGCAAGGAGTTTCTGGTCTTCGTCAGAGTATTTGAATTACAAACAAATTACAATAAAATAAATACTGTCTGGAATCGTCGTCGTTGGAATAACTCGTTGCTGAGTATTGGGTTGCTCTTAGACATTTCTTTCTGTGTGAATTGAGTCCTATGCTAGATCTGAAACGTCCGCAGCTACCAAATGGTAGAGTAAAAGGGTTCAGTGGGTGGAGAGCTCTCGTTTTTCTTTTTGCCTCTCTTCTATTTGTCTTCTGGTCTTTTCGAAGGATGTTTTTTTTGTGGACCGTTCTTCACCAATTGGTTCTTTCTGCAGTTTCCATCTCCCAATTGACTGGATGGATTTCTGTCCTTGGCAAGGTGTTTTTGAGATGATCCTTGAGTCAACAATGTGGTCTATTGCCAGATGTGAGCTCTTTTGCCAGATGTGAGTTCTTTCAAAAAGGCAATATCAATGATTTTATTGTTTGTTAAATAATGATTTCATAATCTGCAAGTATTTTAGGCTTAAATCCTGATTTATATTTTCATTTTTTCTTTTCGCTATCTTTTCCTAGAATTAAGAAACTTTTCGATATTTGTGTTTGATTAATAATTTATGTACTATTTCATAATTTGTCTTGTGTTCTAGTGTTTTTTGTTTACCTAACATCCACAGATACTGTAGGGTAGGGTTAGGAGGATTCAGGGGGTGGGGAACTCTGTTTTTTCTTTGGGATCTCTTCATCCTTTATATTTGTCTTTGGGTGTTTTTGAAGAACGTTATCCATTTTTTTTGTGGACTGCTCTTCACAAACTGATTCTTTCTGTAGCTTCCGTCTCCTATTTGACCGGATCAATTTCTATCCTCAGCAAGATGTTTTTGAGCTGATCCTTGAATCAGCGACACAATCTATTGCCAGATGCAAGCTCTTTCCAAAAGCCTGCATTAATAATCTTATTGTATGTTAAATAATGACTTCATAATCTCCGAGTATTTTAGGCTTAAATCTCAATTTTTATTTGCATTTTTTTTCGACTATTTCATAATTTGTCTTGCTTTGTATTGTTTTTGTAACCCTGATCACTACAATCTTGACTTCTTTAAGTCTAGGTTTGACCTCATGAACATTACTTCTTGCCTTCTGTTCAAAGAACTCCACATAGTAAACCTCTACTTTGAGTGGCTCTTGAGCCTTGTATTAAGTTAACATTTGTACATAAAAAATTCTTTTTTAAATGCCATGTCCTTTCATAGCAGAAGTGATAAGGGTTCTCCAAAGATACCATCCAAATGATAGTTGTTAGTATTGTCAAAAAGGCAGTATAATTAATTTTATTGTATATTAAATAATGACTTCATAATCTCAAAGCATTTTATGCTTAAATCTTGATTTAAGTTTTCATTTTTTGTTTTTGCTTTTTATAATTTGTCTTACATTCTAGTGTTTTTGTTAAACTAATGTTCCTTGACATTGCCTGATAAAGTAGGATGGTTCAAGAGATGGGGAGTGCTCGTTTTTCTTTTGCTTCTCTTCTATTTGTTTTCTGGTCTTTTCGAAGGATGTTTTTTTGTGGACCGTTCTTCACCAATTGGTTCTTTCTGCAGTTTCCATCTCCCAATTGACTGGATCGATTTCTGTCCTTGGCAAGGTATTTTTGAGATGATCCTTCCAGTCAACGATATGGTCTACTGCCAGATGTGAGCACTTTTGCCAGATGTGAGTTCTTTCAAAAAGACACTATCAATGATTTTATTGTATGTTAAATAAAGACGTTTTATCTTGGCTTGCCTTCCCCGAATTGTTTCTTTATATATATATATATATATATATATATATATATATATATATGTGTGTGTGTGTGTGTGTGTGTATGAGTGTGTAGGAGTGTATAAATAAAAAGAAAGAACAGTAAGATATATAAAATTAAATATAAGATAACAGTAAGATATACAAATTAAATTCGGACCTTCCATTTTTGAAACATGGTTAGAACTGTGTAGCGGAAAACCATATTTTAAATCAATTTATTTATAATATATATATATATATATATATATATATATATATATATATATATATATATATATATATATATATAATAAAATATAGATTTAAATTATGCTATATTTATTGGTTAAAGTCCTCAATATCAGAGATAGAGGGTATGTAAACATAGAAGTGGACATTGAAGACATCACCCAGCAGGGAGAGTCTGTTTCATGACGATACGAAATCGTTTGGCCTGCATTTTTACATATGTTTGCGTATGTGTTTGTGTATAGCAGGTTCTCGGGTTACGTCGGGCCCAACGTACGGCGTTCTGTGTTTACGGCGCCGTCGCCC